GTCGCTTAAGTTTCGTCGGAATGAAGTTACGGAAAATCAATTAACAAACGGAGACGTAACATTATTTTAGCGTATAATTTTCAAAACGTTTTGTTTATCTGAATCTATGTTTGGTTTGCGTAACATATGGTCCAGAAAATTGTTAAGTGCACGTTCTAGTTACCCTTATTCCTTTGTTGTTCTCTATGTTGAATATGAATGACTAATCACATGGGTATCACTAGTCGCTATGGGTGAATCCGACGTTTCTCGTTAAGTAAGAAACATTAGATTTCAAGTCTACAAAGGATCCCAAATGAGGTGGTAGATGGAAAGACATCGTGAGGGAAGAACAGCAGTTAATCAATTCAGGAGTCCAGTAGCAGGCAGCCATTTAGTATTATAACACAAGAATGTGCTCTGAATATTGTCTATTGGATAAAGATTGTTTTCATCTTGTGTTATACATCGAATCCAATCTGTTTATTTCTTTACTTAAGCTCATTTAGTAAAGTTCAGACATATTTCGTATCCTATCCTGGCGATCCTCCCGTTATAAATTAAACCTACATAACACTCTTCGTGGAAACCAGTTTAACCTGAGAATATAATAGAGGATGTAGGATGGAGAAATTTTGGCGTCATGAAAACGGGATTTTATTAAAAAAAATTTCTGATTTTGCTAATATGTGTATTGCCTTTGCTTGAAATCTTCAGTTACTGTATTTAAAGCAACACTATTTGCTTAAAAGTATATTTTCTACATGAAGAAGAACATACATATTCATAACCAAGAGGGAGCATTTACTGCCGTACAGAGACTGTTGTATGAGAGAAGTGTTGAGCCTATGAGAAGTTTTTTCCTGTACATAACACTTTGCTGATGTTATGAAGGTCTCAAACATCGATCGCTTTGCAACCACGGAATCAGGAGGATGAGCTAATGTCTGATTACTTAGAATAGCAGCTCATGCAGTGCACTTGAGAATCAGTTTTTGTACAAGGGAAGCACAGATGACTGGGAGGCCTGAGACCATGCATGATGGTCTCTAGAGGCCTCCTAGGCCTCCAAGCTCTGATCAAGACAAACCAAGAAGGACTTTATGTGCCACTGGTAAATGATCTCTGCCAAGCAGAGCTGTTTTCCCCACTAAGTGAGACAGTGGGTGCCAATGGGAAAAGACCATGTACAATAGAACATTCATGAGACTTTCCAAGATGGAAGGTATCCTGCCATATAACCAAATATTGTGAGGAAATGTGGAATCATGCAGAGTTTTAGGATGAGTTACCAAGACCAACTTGTTGCTCTGCCACCCTGGACCAGGGGCTGACTACTCATCTGAGTGTCAGAGTCCTAATATGTCTATACTTTCCCTTATCTATGTCACCAGTGGCATCTCAGCTAGGCATTGACCCAAAATCTGCAAGAGAGATGCTTCAATAGCATCAAAGGTTCCTGCAAATGAAGCCAAGCACATTTAATCACTGATGTTTAAAGGTTCAGTTTAGTGAAAGAAGGTGTAGAACATTTTCTGAAGTGTTTCATGCAGGGAACTGCTTGCAGCAGCTGGACTCAGGAAAATACAGTCCAATGCCTGGTCCTGAGCTTAGATGGCCCAATTATTAATTCCACTGAACAAATAGGACTAGATGAAGCAAGAACACTGGGATACAGGCATGGTGGAAACGTGCTGTTGATTCAACCCAGTGCAGAATTGAAGAATATGCTTGACTAAATTTAAATCTTGAAAGAGGAATGCTATGTAGGTTCTGGCCATTAAATGGATGATGTGTGCCATCTGCATGATTAGGCATAGCCTGTAATTGCTTCAGGAGATTGTGAAGACACATTCATGGATAAATTTATTGAGGGACTTCCCGGGAAGAACATTAGATACCACTTGGGTGTGAGAAATATTCTCACCCTAATGGAAGCATTTGTCGTCATGACAAGGTATGAAGTAGTAATTTTGAGTTGATAAGTATAGAGGAAGAAGTCCATAGTGACAACTGCTGTTACTACACCTCAGATGGACTGTCCTACTCAGATACCTCCACCACATCGAATTGAAAACATACCAAAGGTTGACCAACCACCCACACATCCCAATACTGTGATGTAACCACAGTGGTTTCCAGTGAATAGGCAAGGTTATTCATAAATTTATATGCCACATATGCAGCGTTATCTGGATGGGGGGGGGGCAAAGTCATCTAGCTTTAGCTTGTGGTAGGG